ACCCAGATGCCCATCAGCTGATGCATAGAGAAAGATATGTCAGGTTTTTTTTTTTTATAGAATGGAGTACTACTCTGCCACAAGGAAGGATAAGCTTGAGACACTTCTAGGAAAATGGGTGCACCTTGAGCCCATGCTCTTAAGTGAAATAAATCTCTGGTGTGAGAAACCGAGAGTGTAAATAAGGACCAAAATGTATACTAGGTATTGTGAAACGGGAAGAAAATGTTCAAATGAGAAGGGGAACAAGGGAGGGGCGAGGGGAAAGGAAGGAGGGGAAAAGAAAAATATGATGACAAAAGAAGGAAAACATGGAAACAAAGCTTTGTAAATAGGACGGGCGGAGGGGTTGAAGGGAGTCGGGGGATGGAGAAAGAATCAAGTTACATCAGGTATCCGTACAAATTCCTTACAGCGAAAGAGATCGTTATGTATACCTAAAATGTACCAATAAATTAATAAAAAAAATAGTGGTTTGAAAAATATACATAATATAGGTATCAAAATATTTTAAGTATTTAGTGGGCAATATTTACCTCTTCATCACAATATTTCAGGTACCCAGGCTTTTTTTCCTATTGGAATTTTCTCATTTTTCTACCGTAGTTACATGCATTTGTCTAACTGTCAAAAACAGCCCACCGCGGGGTGTGCTTTGTGGGACAGGAGAGACTGCTGGGGTGGGAACCACCTGAAACGTCTAATTCTCCTACCCCTGAGGAAGCCTGCAAGAAGTTCCCAAAGAGCTGTAAGGAGCCGCTCTGCCACCTGGTGGCGACGCTGGGGAACTGCAACGCCCCACCCCCGCTGCCGCTGAGCGCGCTGCTGCAAATACGGAAAAGCCTGTAAAGATGCAGAAATTGAATAACCACAGCTGGGAACAAAGGTGTTAATCACAAATCAGGAGCTCTTATCTAGGGGTGGTGAAAAGACTGTCAAGACAAGGGACGGCTGAAGATTTCTCACAAAGCCGGTTCCTTGGGAGCACTGAGCTTGACAAGCAGTCAGAGGAAATCAGATAGTAGGTCCCGGGGAGGAGAAGAGAGCTTGCGGGGCAAGCGGTATAGAGCAGATTTCAATCGCGGACAGGAGCGATCGCCTTTCCTCGAAGGAAGCTGGAATGGCCGCAACGGCAGAAGACGGCCTGCTGAGAGTCCACAGACCCGAAGGACAGCCGGCAGGTGGGACCCAAGTCCTGGGCGAGGGCTGGAAACTCACAAGGAGGTAGGACGCCAAAGGAGGAGGTCAGCAGGTGCTGAGCAGGGACTGAGGAGGGAAACGTCCAGGACACTGTCAACCGCGGGGGCAGGGGTCACTACACGCCACACGGGGCTCCAGCTGCTTCCCTGCACTCCGCATTCATGCACAGAACCCTCGCATCAACTCTCCGTGACTACCTCCATTTCACAGATGAGGAAACCGAGGCATGGAGGGGAAGGAACTCGCCCAAGGCCCTGGAGAAGTGTAAGGCTGGGTCTGACCGCAGCCAATCTGGCTGGAGAGCTTGCGTCCGGAAAGGCTGCACTCTGCTGCCTGCTCCGGGGAAAAAGGCGGGACTGGAGGTCAGAGAAATAAGAGACGTCACAGAGGAGGCTGCTGGAAGGGAATCTTTGTGCTGGTTAATTTTACTCAGCAAGCCAGGCGTGGTGGCGCACACCTGTAATCCCCACACTCGGGAAGCTGAGGCAGGAAGGTCGCTGTAAGTTCGAGACCAGCTTGGGCTACAGTGAGCTCAAGGCCAACCTGAGCTGCATAGCGAGACCCTGTCTCAAGAAGACAAAAAAAAAAAAAAATTTCACTCAGCAGTCAGAGGCGCAGCCAAAGACGGGATGGGCAAGAGTGAAGAGCAGAACCTCAAGGTGGAACGTGGTCTTGCTCTGTAAGATTCCGGGTGCTGAATCGCTGCAACCGGCACGTCCTCTGCAGACGTGAAGTGTGTGCAGGCCGTGAGCCTGCTCCCCCCGTCAGATGAGACACCGCTGCTATTCTGAGAGTCAGGGGGGCAGCCACACACTTCTCCTGGCCCCACCAACTCTTCCACGCCGTGTCTTAGCCTACAACCTTCCTGAGAGCCCGACTGGAATTCCCTGGTTCCTCCTGAGCGGAGGCACCTGGTCCCCCGCGCAAGGTCCCTCCGAGGAAGCCTCGGACCTCCCCAGCCGCGTGCTCTCGTTATGTGTCCAGGAATGGCGCCCTGCCTCGCGCCTGCCTGCTCTGGGGGGAAGACTCACTTCCCAGGGCTTCCTGTGAGCTTGTGCCGGCAGGCTTCAAGCTGGCGGTTCACCCGAGCAGACCTGTGAGGACGGCCTGCGCTTGGGCCGCGTCGCACAAGCACAGCCTCAAGTTCCTGCAGAAGGCGCGTGTGGAGACGCCTGGCTCAAGGCATCAGCTTTATTTATTTATGTTTCATCGGTTAGTGGGCCTAGAGCGGCCGAGCGGCTCCGCGACTTCGCTCCGCAACTCTGGCCTGTTCGCTACAAAGGACACCGGCCGCGTGGCCAGCTCTCCAAGCCCCTTCTGCGGGACCAGCAGGCACTGGCTCGGTCAGCACTGCACCGCTCGTCTCTCCCCTCTGTGCGCGCCAGGAGCCACCTCGGGGGCGGGGCCGCAGGGCCCCCACAGCGGGTATCCCCCCCCCCCCCGTGTCTGTGGATCCCACGGTCACAGATGCCGCTTTCCCAAGGTGACTGCAGAGCGACCGGGCGTTTGCCGGGGTCCCTGTGCTCTGATCTGCGCTCACCCCGAAGATGGCCGGCTGGCCTCAAGCAGGCCCCAGCTGCCGCGTACCCGGTGCCTGCGCTGCAGCTGCCCCCCTGCCCAGCAGCTCCTCTGCGCCTGGCTGCACTGACCCCAGGGCCACCCCCACCCCCACCAGAGCCCACTCGTGACCTTCGGGGCCTGACCTCGCCCTGCGCTGGGACGTCTTCCCCAGAGTCCCGTGTCTGCAACCCGTCTCACTGGTGTGTGCTGCCCTTGCGTGTCCCGAATAAAAGCAAGTTTTCCAGTGAGCTCGTTCCGGGCCCTCCCAGGCTCACTTCCCAGCCAGGTTTAGCCTGCGGCTGATGTGGGGGCTGGAATGCACCCTCCAGGTGGCCTGTTTTGTTTCTGAACAACGGGGCGCATACCCAGGCTCCCTGGCGCTGGGACCACCACACCCACCTCGGTGCAGTCCTGCGAGACACTCTTGTCCCCGTCCCTTACACCACCTACTGCCCGTGCAGCCTCACGCACCAGGCGTGTACGGCCCTCTGTGTTCGCAGAGCTCTGGAACGCGGGTGGGGGCTCTGTAGCTCACCCAGCCCATCGCTGGTTTGCTTGCTCTGAAGAGCCGCAGCTTGCAGTAGCCGCAGCTTGCAGCAGAATGGAAGCTCGTGTCCCTCCGTGGGTTCCCGGCCAAAGGCCGCAGGCCCATCAGATCATCGGGCGCGCAGCACGGTGCAGAGCGGCCTTCCGAGCATGGGGCTGACGTCCTTCAGGAGCATCCTCTGCTCTGGACACTGTGACTGCTGAAGGTGGCGGACTGCTAAGCCCTTCCTCGACGCGCTCCCTCCCCCTCGAGCTGACAGGGCGCCCAGAGCCCCGAGCAGATTCTCTGAGCCCAGCTCCTGAAAACTGAATTGCACGCCGTCCTCCTCCGCGCCTGATTTATGGGTGTCCGCGTTTACTCTGCGCGGTGTATATGCTGCGCGCTGCAGAAGCCTCGGGCCCTAATCATCAGCCTGCAGCCTGCTCCCGTCCCCAGAACCCTCCGCAGCGGGCTGGGGCCGGTCTGCTGTCACCTACTGGGCAGGCATCCGCTCTTTCACCACCTCCCGCCAGGCACAGAGCGGCATGACTCGGGTCACAGGAGTTGCAGCTGCTTTGGCCAACATCTATGGTGTTAGGTATAATTCAGAAGAACATTCAGCCTTCATTGCCTTTCCCCTGCTTTTAAAAGGAATATACACCCATAAATCAGGGATGGTGGCACAAGCCTGTAATCCCAGCTGTTGGGAGGCTGAGGCAGAAGGATTCCATGTTTGAGCCCAGTTTGGGCAACTTAACAAGATGCTGTCTCAAAATTTAAAAAACAGAAAAAAGGCTGGGACTGCAGGGCAGAGTGAAGGCTCTGGGTTCAATCCCTGGCACCCTCGAGGCCTCTCAGACCTTGCCTCTTCCTGTCCTTCCCCTGGGTCACTCTGCTCCAGGCCACGGTGTCACCATCTGATTCTCTGAGAGCAGCTCAGGTGTGGCACTGCCTGAGGCCCTTGAGTAAGCTGTTCCCTCCACCCCACCCCCTAGGGTCTCGCCCTCCGCTTCCCCCAGGCTTCCTTCAGTGTCACCTGAGGGCAGCTGACCCTGACTACTTTATTTGAAACGGCAATTTGTAATTCTTTTATAAAATATTGCTAGCCAGGCATGGTGGGGCAAGCCTGTGATCCCAGCACTCGGAAGGCTGAGGCAGGAGAGTTCAGGGCCAGTCTGGGCTACACAATGAGTTCAAAGCCAGCCTGAACTATATAGCAGGACCCTGCCTCAAAAACCCAAAACAAAAATTTCTTATCACTGCCTAACATTCCTTATTTTATTTTTTATTTTTTATTTTTTTTGGTTTTTCTCCGGTACCGGGAACCGAACTCACGACCTTGCGCTTGCCAGGCAGGTGCTTTTGCCGCTGAGCTAAATCCCCAGCCCCCTGCCTAACATTCCTTTAACCTGACTGCTTCCCATGCCCTGGTTTGCCAGCAGGTGTGCACGCTCGGGGAGCAAAGCCGCTGCCGCAGGCCTCTGACAGTGCCCAGCCAGGCAGGCACTCACTACGACCCACCAAGGAGCACACAGATCCGCAGCATCACTAGCACCAAGCCACTCCATTCCAGGAACTCTGGGCCCCAGGATTCCTGCCCACCGACCCCAAGCACCCTTCCCGTGCCCTGCCCAGCTGGACCCCTGAGGTGGCAGCCCCCACCTGACTCCCCCGCCCTGGCCCTGCCCGGCTGGGCCGGCACAGCGGGCCTCACCTGAAAGTCCTCCTCGTCCAGGATCTCCTTCCTCCACTTGATCAGGAAGGCTGCGCACACGTAGAGGTGGAAGTGGGAGAACCCCTCTGGCTCAGACTGTGGGGACAGAAGAGTTAGGCCAGGAGCCATCGCTGGGGCAAACGGCGGCCGCCAGGACGCGGCGAGGACCCTCCCGAGGCCCAGGAGCAGGTGCAGGCGGGGAGTGGGCGGCCGCGTACCTGGTAGGTGTCCCACAGGCGGATGGTGCAGCGCAGGGGCAGCTCCCGCATGAGCAGGTTGTTCATCCACCGGAAGGCGAACTGCAGGTACTCCACCTCGTACCTCCTGAAGTGATTGTGTACCTGCTCTGGAACAGGACGCGTCGTTGGCCCCGAGGCCCAGCCCAGGGGCGCGGACCCCGAAAGGGCACATTCCACTTCTTGTTGCCCCCACCCCTGGGAGCAACCAGGCATCGGCCAGGCTTCTGCGGGGGCAACCACTCGCTCAGCCGGGCCAGCACCTGTCCCACCCTTACTGCAGATCTTAGTACTCATCAAAGAAGGCAAGGCATGGACGAGAACCATGGAGGGGACCTGGGCTGCTCTCCCACCAGAAGAGCACCTCCTCAGCGCCCCGACCGCTGGCAGCCAGCAGGGACTACACACAGGGCGCCTGACCTGCTGCTGGATGAGGTGCCCCAGAAGGGGCACTCCTGGACCTAGCTGGACCTGGCTGACCCCGCGCGCTCACCGGGGCTGTCTGTATCCTGGAGCAAGTCAATGCCGACCTAATCCCCGTCTGACTTCAAATAATACTGTGGAGAATTGTTTTTCTTTGTTCTTACTTTGTTCTTGTGTTTTTAGTTTTTTTTTTTTTTCTTTTGTGATACTGGGAACCACCCAGCCCTTGCCAGCCCCAGCGTGGTCGGGGAAGCACCCTACATGGACCTCAGACCCAACAGTGCAGTTCTTGAAAGAAGTATTAAAAAAAAAAAGAGAGAGAAATAAAAAACAGTATTAACAACGTTAATTTCTGAGGAGCAGGATTTAAGTGAAGAGGAGGATTTCTAGTTACTGTGCATTTCCTGCCTTGCCCAAGCCTTCGGAAAGGGAGTATTACAATGCAGAGAAACAATATAGGGATATGTAAAGCCGAGGGACCACAGGTTTGAGGTATTAGGTTTCTCTTTTTCAGGTATTTACAAGGGCAGAAAAAACGAGGACTAGCTGGGCGTGGTAGCGCACGCCTGTCATCCCAGCACTCGGGAGGCTGAGGCAGGAGGATCCTTGTGAGTTCGAGACCAGCCTGGGCTACAAAGTGAGCTCAAGGCCAGCCTGAATTGCATAGTGAGACCCCGTTTCAAAAAAAAAAGAAAAGAAAAAACAAGGACTGGGCAGACCCCACGGCCTCTGCACGCTGGAACCCAAGGGACGGTCACCTCAGCAGCTAACTCAGCACCTCGAGGAGGGCAGCGGGTACCCTGCCCAGGCGCTGGGGGCGACACCAGGGACACTTGCAGGCCAGGTGACAAAACACAGGAACAAGTGGAAAACAACTTCAAGGGAACAAGTGAGGCTGGGCTGCACCTCCAAGTCCAGGAAGGAAGCTGGACTGAGGGGATCAGACCCAGCGGTGTTTCAGGACAGCAGACTGGGGGAGAGAGAGACAACTTCCGTGTGTGGAGGAGAGAGAAAGGCCGTGCTAGGGTGAACAGGAAGCGCCGGGAGGGATGCGCAGGCAGGGCGGCTTGTGAGGTGGCACAGGACGGGCAGAGTCCTGAGGAGCGGCTCCTACCCGCCTTGCCGCCATCCCTCCATGCCCACAATGGTCAGCCGCAGAGCTCCCCCGGCCACCCTGGAGGTCTCCCACCCCACGCATCCAGGCAGCAGCCAGGGACTCCGCTCCTGTGGGGCTCCTGACCCTCACGCCTCTGCGCCCCCAGCCCAGGGGGTCCCAGGGACCGGGGGAACCCCACCAGGTGTCAGCCAGACCCCAGGCTGCTGTGCCACCCAAGAGCGCCAAGTTCCCTCACCACAGGGAGAAGGTCGGCCTACAGCCACGGCGCGCACACCTGTCACCTCGCACTCTGGAGGCTGAGGCAGGAGGGGCACAAGGCAGAGGCCAGCCAGGTGTGGGGGCATAATCCCAGCACTCTGGAGGCTGTAATCTCAGACTCTGGAGGCTGAGGCAGGAAGACTGCCATGAGTTTGGGGCCTGCCTGGGCTATATAGGGAGGCTGTGCTGAAAACAAAAAGCAAAACAAAAATGGCAACAGGAGGACACAGAGGCTCTAGAGAGAGTGGGACACAGATGCCAAAGGGGACAGGAGAGCTTGGTGACAGAAACAAAGGGCAAAGAAGGACGTCAGAGCACTGCAGCAGAACCACCGCACTTCCTGACAACAGTGGGGAGACCCAGGAGCGGCAGGGCTGGGAAGGGAGTGCGAGGGGCCGAGGGCCGCCGCCCGGTGCTCTTCTGAACCTACCATCGATCCGGCTCACGAGCTCCTCCAGCGCCTTGACCTTCTTCTGGATCCCCGGCTGTGCGAAGGTGTAGTTATCCTGCAGAAGACACAAGGCCTGGTGAGCAGGGCCCCCGCCGCTGGGAATGCCCCTCCAGTTCACTGAGGCATTCTGGAAAACACAGGCTCTCTCCCGGCCCAGCGCCGATGGCTGGCCAGTGTTTGGGGGAAGACAGGAGTTGCTGCAGCAGTAGAGCTTGGGGAGAGCCTGAGGGAGCCTCACCTAGGAAGCCAACCCGCGGGGCTCTGGGCATCCCTCGGGAAGAAGGGGCCTTCTCTGATGGCAGCCGGCGCAGCACGGGGACCTCCCGAGTCCTGGCCGTGCTAAGGCACCGCAGAGCTGACCAAACACAGGAGGGGCTTGGCGAGCGCCGCCCTGCCCAGGCCACGAGAGCTCTACGGAGCCCTGCCTGTGGGAGCCCCCCTGGGGAGCCCTGCCTGTGGGAGCCCGCCCGTGGGAGCCTGCCCGTGGGAGCCCCGCAGGGCAGGCGCCCACCTGGATCCCGTCCAGCAGCTTGCTCATGCACCAGAAGCTGTCGGCCTCAATGCTTCGCAGCATGTCCTGAGACAAGTTGGTCACGTCGAAGTTCTCCACGTCCTCCTCTGTAAAACAAAAGGCGAACAGAGTCCAGAGGTCTCATCTAAAAACGGAGGCAGAGAGAGAGTCCAGCGCAGTCACCGGTCCTTCCGGCCAGGGGGAGCAGGCTGAGCTGATGCCAAGGCTCGAGGGCCCAGCCGTCTGCACCCCCGGGCGGGGGACGAGTGCGTCCCAGAGAAGGGCCGAGGACCTCGCTCAGCACGCAACAGGCTTTCCGCGCGCCACTCCGGCTGGGCCCAGGGCGCCTGCCTCTGCCGCGGCGTTTAGCTTCAGAAAACAGGAATTCAAGCCTCACATTCAGTGAGCTCCACGCGGCTCGCTGGAGATGGTCTGGAAGAACTGTGCTGTGCGGAATTCCGCTGGCTGTCCCGCGCACTCACACTGCACTCACACGACCACGCAGGCCCCCCTGTGCATCTCAAGGGTGGGGTCCCGCCGGGGGGAAGGCAGACGCAGGCCCGGCCCGCAGCCCATGAATGCTTCTAGGGTTAATGCTCCTAGGTTTAATGCCACCAAGTTAGTACTTCCTAGGATGGGCTCTGCGAAACGCTGATCCTACAGAACATTCAAGAACAAAAGTGGATTCCGCAGATGGACGTGGCATCACCACTATCCTGGAGATTCGCCAAGATCCAGGCATACAAAAGACTCCAGAAGTCCTAGGAGTTCTGCGTTCAGTGCATGGCTTTCCTTTGTTTACCCAGCGTTTCCGAGCTCATTTAGCCCGGGGCCTCTTGTACCAGCTGCTCCTGGAAATCCCTCAGGGCAGCTGCAGTGAGAAGTGGTCTGGTCTGGATCCAACTGAGAACGCAGGGAACCGGCAGAAGGAAAAGACTGAGCAGTGGTCCCTTCTGAGCAGGGTGAAGGAGGAGCGGGTCCTCCCTGTCCCGGAAGACAGCCCACTGCTGGCCTGCCTGAGCCCCAGGGAGACCTTCCGGATCCTGCGTGCATGCAGAAGGCAGCCTTAGCCACAGCCCTGCCTTGACACCGGACGGCACTGCAGGCCCTGGTGCTGGGGTCACAGCCCGTGCAGAACCCTGCCCTTTTGTTTATGGGAATCATGACCGAGACCCACAGCTGAGCCCCTGGGTGACAAGACCAACCAATGTCACATTCACATTCTGCTTAAAAAGCTGTTTTGAGATGAACACCAAGGACTGTTTAGACAAAGACCTTTGGGGGGATAGTGAGGTGCTTTGTTAGAAAAGCTGTGACCCCAGGAATGTCCTTAAAGTCTGACTTGAAATTAATACATGAAGACGGGTGTGGTGGCACATGCCTGTAATCCCAGCACTCGGGACGCTGAGGCAGGAGGATCCTTGTGAGTTCCAGACCAGCCCGGGCTACAAAGTGAGCTCAAGGCCAGCCTGAACTGCACAGAGAGACCCTGTCTCAAAAAAACAAAAAACAAAAACAAAATTAATACATGTGCAGTGCCGACCGCAGTGCCTGACACACAGGAGGCGCACTGTCACTCTCCACATTAAGTTATCAGGAACATGTCACGTCACAGTGTTACGGCACAAAGCAGCCAGGTACAGGGTTATTTATGGTAGACTTTCAACCAGTGTATGTAGAATATTTACGTGTTTATACAAGCACAGAGGAAAAAATATATCACAAGGTTTACAGTGCTTATTCCCCAGTTGGCAGGATGAAGGGTTTTATTTTCTTTACACTTTACTGGACTTCTCCTCAGCATTTCAATAATAAGCATAATTTTTATGCTCCCCCTAAACGCACATTATTTTTGGGGCGGGTGGGGGGGAAGAGGCACAATTGCCTGCACTTGCCTTTTATCACCAAAAAAGAATACAGAATATCTTGTAAAACAAGACAAGCTTGCAGGAACTAGGAATTTAGATAACGTATAAAAGTCCATTTTATTGCTGGGTGTGGTGGTTTAGGCCTGTAATCCCACCACTGGGGAGGCTGAGGCAGGAGGACTGCCGTGAGTTTGAGGCTGGCCTGAACTACAGAGTGAGACCCTGCGTCAAAAAAACAAACAAAAAGAAATATCATTTTCCTTTTTGTCTTACTTTAAACATTTATGTAGTATGTTCTGTGTGGCTTTCTCTGTATATAATTAATCTGGTTAATTGCTCCCAGGCCATAAGGCCCGGCTCTGAATCTCTTTTTTTTCTGCGTCCTGTGACATCCCGAGAGCTCTCCAGGCCGCCTTGCAGGCCCCCAGCTCGTTTCTGCACAGCAGCCTCCACCGCATTTTCTCCACCATCCTCCGCCTCTTGGGACATTCTGGAAGGCTCCAGGACCACGCTCACCCCAGCCGCCCTAAGCAGCAGCTCCCTCTGTGTAGCGGAGGGGATGAAGATGGCCAGGTCCACAGGAAAACACTGGCAAGAGCCGCCCTCACCCTAACGCGGTTCCCGAAGGGAGACCCAGAGCTGCACCAGAGCTGGGAAGGTCTCTGCCAAGCCGGGTATCCCAGGGTTCAAGGAGACTGCAGTGGAGATGCAAGGAGGATGGGGACCGCACAGTCACGCGACACCCTGGGTCTCCAAGGACAGCAGGGAGCAAGCTGCTCCACGTCAAGCAGAACAGCACCTGGTCCAGGGCAGACGTGGAGCCAGACGCAGAGGTGAAGGCCCCACTCGGGCACTCAGAGCTCCGTGACTTTGGGCAAACAGCTTTCCTCCGTGCCTCGATGCCTCATCCGTTCAGGATCAGAGGCTGCTATGAGGATTACATAAGTTAATACATTAGAAGTGCCGGCATGAAATAGGCACTATGTAAATATCAGCTGACTTTACCGGTAACATTTTATCATACGAGAAGCACATACAAGTCTCTCTTGTTTAAGCCACTGACATTGTAGATCTCTATTACTTGCCGCCAAACCTAATTTAAATGCCAAACCTGCCATCCCAAAATAGGCCCTAAAATTCAGTCAACCTTCAAGCCTTCCCGCTTCTACTTTTTGGTCGTCAGGAGGGAAATCAGACCAAGTACGCAAGGCCCTGAGCCGGGAAAGGGCTCCTCACAGGGACGAACTCCACTCCTGTAGCTGTCCAGGTCCAGAGCTGGGTGGCCAGAGGCACCCACCGACCAGGTGCGGAGCCCGCCTCCCCGCACCGCAGGAAGTGGGAGGGGGATGCCGGGCTTCCGCCCGCCGCAGGATAAATCCACACAAGCAGTGTGTGCGCTGGGTGCAGGGCGGAAAGCAGCTGAGAAACGGAGGGGCAAGTGCGCTCTGCAAGGCTCTGCTCGGCATAAACAACTATTCCAGAGGGTCATTAACGGCCACTTGGGGAAATTCAGCCCCTGCGTGCAGCTGAGGCGGGAAACCACGCCAGCCCAGCACCTCGGGCGGGCGAGCGAACGCTGCGTCCTCCGCTGTCCCCTCAGGACTCGGATGGAGCGACTGGGGCTTTGAAGGGTCCTATACAGCCATTTTAAGAGGCACAGCATCTAAGAGGAAGAAACCAAAAAGCCCTTTTGTAAAAGTCAAATAGCCCACTCAGGGTGTGACGAGACCAGGCCTGTCCGTCTGCTGATAAAATGTGCCTGAGTGGTGGCTCCAGTCTTTGCCTGAAAACTCTGAGGCCTGGGCCTGAAATCAGCTCGCTCACAGGCTCCCTGCTGGCTTCGGGAAGAACTGGTTTTGCCTCAACTGACAAGCATAACTTGTCTACCCACTGCGGGGGCATCAGAGCCGCTCAGCCTGACTGGCGGCCCCCAGCGGGTGGCCTCCGGCTTCCCCAGCCTCCTGCCCTCCTAAGTAACCTTGCTGAATATTTTCTGACGGCAAAAGTGAACAGACTGAGGCAAAGAAAAGATAAATCCTTCCGGACATACACCTCAAGAACCTCAGAAAACAAAACCTTAAAAGCTTCGTTCCGAAAAACACAATTCTAAGAAAAGCATGGAGGAATTCGCCGATGGCTCTGAGGTTCCACACAAACCCGCCGCTGCCATCACGCGCTCTGCCACCTCCAAGACGACACCACGGCCGGCCGGCGGCACAGGCGGAGGGGTGCAGCGGCCACCGGGACAGCTCCACGCCACCTGCCACAGAAGGGAGGCCCTGAAGGGAGACGGTCCCTCCAAGGGGGCCTTTACTCTGTGGCTCTCGCTGAGAAGAGACCCACAGGGGGCCCCACGTTTCTGCCTGTCGGAGGAGATGCGCCCTTCGGAAGATACAGAGAAGCACTGACCACGGGGCCCCTGGACACTGTGCCTGTCGCTCAGGGTAGACCAGGACCTCGGAATGACACACGGGCGCTGGTACTCGGCGTGGGGTAGCCTGGGCACGGGTGTTAGAACTGACTTCCCTCCAAGTTTCCTCCACTGCCCTCACCTTCCCGTCTTGCTTTTACTTTCATTTAGAAAACTCAGAAGGTGCTGCCAAGCCGGCCCCTTGGGGTCAGCCTGAGACCCTGGCAGTGTCCTCCTCCCGAGATAATCACAGAAACTCCACCAAGGGGCATCTGTCCATTTCACCGCTGGTCTCCACGCGGCCAGCCAGGGAAGCGCAGGACAGGCAGGGCGGATGTCGTGCAGAGAGCCAGAGAGGCGGCGGGGGGGCGCTGGGAGCAGGGGTGCGGGGGAGGAAGTGCGCCCGGCAGCCAGGGCAGGACACGCCACGGCAAGGACTCCTCTGAAAACATGGGGTTCGCTGTGAGAAATGAACTGCAGGCTTCCCTCCAGTCCTGCAGACTCTGCCCAAGGTCATCTCTCAGCGTGGCCCCGGCCGGCCACCCTAATACCCGCCTCCTGTTGCTGCCCTGGCCAAGGTGACACAGCCTCACCGCCCTCGTGCTGCGCTCGGTCCCCAGGGTGGTGGGACCTGTAGGAAGCCACTGGATCCTTTTTTTGGTCTTTTTGAGACAGGGTCTCTCTGTGCAGTTCAGGCTGGCCTTGAGCTCAATATGTAGCCCAGGCTGGTCTCAAACTCACAAGGCTCCTCCTGCCTCAGCCTCCGGAGTGCTGGGATTACAGGCGTGCGCCGCCATGCCTGGCTGTAAATTGAAAGATGCTCACATAC